CCTCACTGGGGATTGAGCCTGCAACCTGGGCATGTGCCCTGATTGGGAATGAAACCCTGACTTTCAGGTTCATAGGTGGATGCTCAACCACTGAGCTACCATGATCAAGCAGCATTGCCTTATTATTTTTTAATGAAAACTTTAAAATTGTGGTATATGAATAGCCAACCAAACACACAAACAAAAGAATTGCTGCAGAGTCACAGGCAGTGGTTTCTCTATTTATAGCTGCACAATAATGAATTCTAAGAGTAGGTAGAAGAGGTGTTGGGCAGACCTCCCTGTGGGGTTGGGTATTAAAGTAAGACTCTCAGAAAGGTGAGGGAGCAGGCCAACTGTAACTTCTCTTTCAAAGTGTCCTGGTTCTGTGGCCTTAGGTCGTAGACTTTTTTAAGGGGCATATTTCAAAAGGTACAGGAAGCAAATCAGTAAGGAGTGAGACCAGGAAAATGCCTTGCCATTTGTCACAGCAGCCATAGGGATGCCCATTAAGCCGACTCTGACATCTGTAAGAGACAGGAGGAACTGGCTTCTTTGTAAAGCTGGTAGATGTTATCATTCTTGGCTGGACAGCTCTCAGCTCAGGCTGCACATTTGTCCTTGCCAGAGCCTTCTCTATGGGGATGAAAAACAGCAACAAGAATTATGGAAGAACCTGACTCCTGGAGCTATTGTCCAGAGCTACTAAGGCAGGGGGCTTCGGAAATGTTTATACTTGGTGTCTAAAAGTTATCATGTGACCCTCATTATGCCACTGTGTACAATTCAGTGGACTTCCTCTGGTGGACCCTAAATGAATCATCCAGAATTTGTCAATATGGATTGCATGTTGTAAAATGCTATGCTCACTCTTTTAATGTTATCATAAATAATAATATTTTTAGCACCTACTATGTGCCAGGCTTAGTGATATATACTGTTATATATCCCAATTAAAATTCATGACAACCTTTTTTGCTAGGTATCTTTTTTTTGTGCCCATTTTACAAACAAATGTTTAGCAGGGAGCTAAGATTTGGAACCTCATTTATCTAACTCTACAATTTGTGTCCTTCCTACTTATCACCATGTATAGGCTTGTAACATTTCTCTTTCCAGACCTGATTCTAGAACGGTTCTGCTAATGTGTAATCAGTCTTATCGCAGTTTTTCTTCATCTCTCATTTCCTTGTGATAGCTTGTTTGGGACATTGTTTAAATCATGTTCTTTTATAAGCTCTTTTTTATTTGAGAATCATGAATTTATTGACCAAGAAACAAAGCAAAAAAGAAAAATACAAAGACATTTCAAAGTCAACTAGAAAAATTTTAGCCTCTGACAAAAGAGAATCAGTTTTGCAGTCCTCCACAATTTACAAGTGTGTTAAATACATATTCTATCACATAGCTTGGTAGTCCTGTTGATAGACAAAATATGCATTACTAATTTCAATCTAAAGATGAGTAAAGTTAAGCTCCAAGATTATTTATCAAAAATATTAGATCCATTTTTTTCAAAAGAATATGTATTACATACTGACTATCAAAGTCTCTGCTCTCATGGAAATTCCATTCTAGTGAGTGTAAGGAAAGAAACAAGCAAATAAGATGGGATCAGATGGTAATGATGAAAATAGGAAGAGGAGGAGGAATTTTGAGCTGAGATCTGAAAACTGAGAATTGTCCTGATGTGTGAAAACTTTGAGAATGGTGGTATGAGTAGAAGAAAGAGCAAGTTCAATGGCCCAGAGACTGGACTAGTACTGGCAAGTTTGAGAACTAAAGGTATGATGGGAGTGAGGTAGTTAGGAAAGAGAGTGATAGGGGTTGCTATGAAGACAGCAAGGCAGTACCAGATCCGAAAAACTTTCAGAGGACAAATATTTTATCCTACATGTAATAGGACCATGGAAGATTTTAATCGTGGGACCAATAGAATAAAAAAAATTATATTTTGCCTCATAGATTTCATAAATATGTGTAGGCTGTGTGCCTGGATCCAATGGAAACAAAAGCTTTTTGTCCCGTTCAGTAACTCTGCTTTGTCTACTAAGGATATCTGGGAGCAAAGTTTTTTAGGCTCCAGCTGCTCTGGCTACTTTTTATGTCTCAAATGGAAAAGGGTTCATTTTTGATTCAGGGCTTTTTTGTAAGCACATGCAAAACCCTGAAATGTAGTTCCTCTCCTTCTGGCTTGGCCAACTCATGGTAATTTACTAGGTGGCTGCTTGAATATAATTTCTGTAGGCAAGACTTTTGTTATCCTCACTAGTCTAGATGTTGCTCTGAAGGTACTTGAATATGTGGTTGACACCTACAATCAGTTGACTTTAAGTAAGTGACCCTTAATAATGTGAGTGGGGCTCATGCAATCAGTTGAAAGATTTTTAAGAACAAAACAAGTTATTTCCCTGAGAGGAGAAATTTTACCTCCAGACTGTAATATGGTCTCCTGCCCGCCCAGGAGTTTCCAGCTTGCCCTGCAGATTTTGGTCTTGCCTGATTGCCACAAGTCATGTGAGCCAGTTCTTTAAAATAAATCTCTCAGAGAGAGTAAGCGAGGAAGAGGACAGGAGAGGAGAGGGAGAAAAGAGAGAGAAGAGGTAGAGGGAAAGAGAGGGGAGAGGAGAGGAGGGGAGGAGTGGTGAAGAGAGGTGAGGAGAGGGGAAAAGAGAGGAGAGAAGGGGAGAGCACAGGAGAAGAAAAGAGAGGAAGATTTCAGTGAGGGAAAGAATAAACTTAGGGGTCTGCTGTATGATGCAAATCAAAACTTTCATGTTAATTTCAATCCAACATAGAGGTCCTTGGCATTCAAAGGTCACTAACTGGCTTCAAATTGTTACAGAATTTACCAGGTGACCAAAAAATACACAGGAATACCAGAGATACAGAAAAACCCATTTCTTTTCAGATGTTTCGCATGCACTAGTACAGTGACTCAGGGGAGACTGTTTCTCTCCAAATCCTGAGCAAACCAATATGGGGGAAACTCTCCCTTTATGTCATTTGGTTTCTTTGTCTCCCAAATATGTATGGGACTTCCAGACCTTTCATGGGATTTGCAGAAAGCCCTGTGTGTTGGGATGGGGCCAGGAGAGTGAGACCACACCTTAAAGGCCTGGCCTGGTGCCAGTGCTGATACCCCCTTCTAGGGATTGTGTATTGTTCTTGGTTTATGGCCTCTGTAAAATGGGAGTACTTAGGTAAACAGATATTGCAAGACCAGATTGTGGATACAGGGCCTGTGACTTAATTATAGGCTATCAAGAATGTACATTAAGTTACTGGCACTGACCCAAAAATGCTAGCCCCCCAAAATGTTTTATTTTCCCCATCAAATTCACAAAAAATGGCTTCCTCTTGCATAGGTCCTGGCTCAAAGGAATGATAGGCTTGAGATGGGGGCCAAGTTCTATTAGCTTCTATTTTAATGGCATTTTCTGTGTTCTTTATTCTGACTTTCATTTGATTTTCTTGCTCCTAGTACAGAATTGTGTAGTATTTTCGAATTATACAAGGAGCATCAGCCTAAAGTTACAGGCATTGTTAGAAGGGCCTTTGAGATTAACTTACACCCAAAGCACAGTTCCCAGTATTGCAGAAGTCAACAGTCATCTATTAGGAAGAAAAATTAAGCTAAAAGTAATATAGCATTGGGCCATGTCTTATCAATCACGAGAATTGATGTTATCATTCCCAAGCTGCTTTCAGAAATGGAGGAAAACGTTATTTGAACACAAAAGAAACATTTAAATTATTTAACAGGCTTTCAGTTTAACTCTGGGAGGGTCCTGGTTTTTTGACAATGCCCAGGCAGGGCAGCAGCCCAAGGCTGGGATTCTAGGTTTCATGCTGGGATGAATCTATGATTACTTGGGCTGTCACCATCCACCGATGCTGCTGAAATTCACCTAGCCCAAAGAAGAATTAGCATAATTTATGGTTTTGTTTTTATTGTGCAGACAAGAAAAACATTGATCAAGTAGCAATTTATCAGTTTTGCTCAAGGCCTTGCTGCCACTTCCCCTCCCCCCCTTAAATTAAAATAAAAACCATGCATAACATTGTGGAAAGTAGCTACAGGGTTTGGACAGGTTCAAGCCTTGGACTAATGAAAGGGGACAGGCCTCTCATGGCCATGTGCAAGTCCCACAATTATAGCCAATAGCGATAGTTGTAAGTTTGAACCTATGGTCCAAACACGTGGCCCCACATGTCTGAGTGATGGGGGCTTGATAGAGTTCGGGTGCATGTAATTGAGTAGGATTGAAACCCACGAGAATGTTGTAAACATCTTAACTATGCCCTTACTTTGCCTGGTGGCATCTGCTATAAAATAAAGACTTGGCTTATAGTTGGTGGTGCTGTCACTAGCTCTCCATCAGAAAGAGACTCTATCAGAGAGGACCCAGCTTTCATTCTCTTGTCTGTCTTTTCTCAATCCTTCACTGCCCCCTCTCAGGTTCACCCTTGGCCATGCTGGCGGGGCAGCTAACATTGATTGTAAATCTTCCAAATTCTATTTAATTTCCAGCTTTGTCTCAGAAACTGAAATCACTTTTAAAGGTAAAATTGACTGCTTATTAGCTGTTTTTATGAGGCCTTTTTATTTCCTACTTCCCCTCATTATCTCTGCTTGGCCAACCAGGTAAATTGGGTTGCTTATACTATTTGTACAAGTTCAGCTTGGGCCTCATAGGAAATAAGCAATATTTATTCAATACCCGGGGTGTGTCTACCTTGGATACATCCTCTGTGGGGCACACTGGAGAGACAAATAAATTTTCCTTCATTAATTTGCACTAAAACGCTGTTTTTATATTTAAAAATCAAAAAGGAAAATGATTGCAGAGTCTGAATAATTAGGTCCTAGTCTTGCCTTTTTCTCTAAGTTGCTGTATAGCCTTGGATAGGCCACAGCACTTGTCTGGACCTCAGTTTACTCAGATAATTTCTATGACTCCTTGGTTAGCATGATATGCTATCCCTAGGGCAAGTTTGATAAGAGCCAATGTAAGAAGACCACGGTTGTAGCAAACAAGGTCATATTGCTTGGGAAAAGCTGGCCAAACACATTTACATAAATGTTTAATGAGTACTACTATGTGCAAGGTACTGTGTGTATCATATTCTGGAGGCAATATCAAGCCAGGTGGAATACACATTGTTTCTTGTCCTTAATGAGATCACATTATAGTATGGAGGATGCAAAATAGACTGCAAGTCAACACTAAGGGTCTGACCTCTGGAGAGTATTTGAATATTTTCTGTGAGAAGGTAATGTAGTTAATTATCCTCTTAGAATAGTGTGAAAAAGTTCATATGTCAATGGCTTATTGAAAAGATCAGATATTTTAGTTCATTTGATGGTAAACATTTGAGTTTACCTAAGCCAAAGACTGTAATTGATGCTTGATATATACTGGTGAACAAGATAGACAAAGACATCTGCCCTCATATAGCTTAGTTTCCAGAGCAGGAAGATTGACATTAAACCATAGATGTAATAAGGAAGTGAACTGGATGATATGTGATGAGTTAAGTGATATGGGGGGAAACAAAAAGCAGATGAGGATAGAGAGAATTCGTGGCTAGGGAAAATATGGTCCTCAGAGTAGGCTTCATAAAAAAAAATTCCATATGAGCAAAGGTCACCAGCATATATCCTGGGGAGAGCAAACCAGGGACAGAGAACTGCCCACATAAAGCCTTGAGGCAGCAGCCAGTCTGAGGTATGGAAGGAAGAGTAGTATGGCCTGGCCTGCCAGTGTGACTAGGGGAGAGTAAGCGATGGGCAGAGTTTTAGGAAATGAGATCAGCAAGGCAACCAGAGGGCAAGACCGAGTAGCATAGAACCTTTTTGCCATGGTAGGAATTTGGGCTTTATTCTAAGGGGAAGGAGGACATTACAGTTTCCTGGACAAGTGCCATAATCTTAAACTTGAAGTACAATGGTAAATACAGGGAGGAGCAGGTAAGCAATGGTGAAAGAGGGAAAATGATTTAGAAACTATTACAGTGATGCCATCCAGCTGGAGTTGGATGGTAGTGGCAGAGGTCATGGGAAGTGTTAGGAGTCTGGACTAATTTGTGCAGAAAAGTCAACATGTTTCTTAGGGCTTATAAGTGGGGTGTGAGGGAAGACACTGGTCAAGGACAGCTGCTTAGCTTTCATCCTGAGTAAAAGACCATTATAAAGCAGGGAAATCATGTAAGAGCATTGAAAGTGCTTAATACAGTGCTTGGTACACACTCAGTACTTGCTTCAGAAATGAAGGTGAATGATGTCTAGAAATAACTCACCCACCTGCCTAACTCCACTTTTGCAATGTGAGTTCAGATCCACTTACACAGTGAACCATCCCCTACGCCCTTTGGGTGATGTGCCCTATCTATCTCAGCCATGTCTTTCCAAGTCCTCCTCCATACCAACTCTTACTTTACATTACAGTTTCTATATTTCCTTCAGAGAGAAAACAAGTGGTAGGGAGATTGAGAATCCTCCCATTTACTCTGAAAATCAGAAAATGTTTTTATGGAAGGAGCAACATTTGAGGCTGGACATGAAAGAATGGCTAGAATATGTGGTGGCAATTGAGGAAATCAAATACATAAGGTGAATTTTCAGAGAAGTGTATATACCAGTAGGTATCCATTGGTGGCAGACAAGCAAGAAAGCCAGTTCACTCATAACTTGAAATTTCTGATCCACAACTTCTGGTCTGGCTGAAGAAGGTCATTGTGCAGAGATGGAGGACTGGCATACTTCCTTCCTGTGAATGCACATGGGATGTCTGTTGTTTATGACAAGAACAAAGGGTGTTGCTTATAGGGGTGTGTGTGTGTGTGTCTGTGGGTGTGTGTGCACGTGCTAGTGTAATGGTGCTGATGGCCCCAAAACACACACACACACACAAAAAAAAAACCCACAAAAAACAAAAAAACACACATTGTGTTCTTCCATTAGTTCCTTCCTGACAATATTTTTTTATTGAAAATATTACAGATGTCCCAGTTTTTTTCCTCACTGACCCCTCTACCCGACACCTGCCACCTGCCACCTCCCACGCCTTTACCACACCATTTTCTGGGTTATGTACAATATATAAATTATTTGGTTAATTTCTCCCCACTTACCCTTGCCTACCCTCTTGAGATTCATCTGTCTATTCCATGCTTCTATGTCTCTGGATCTATTTTGTTCATCAGTTTATTTTATTTTATTTTTAGTTTTTGATTCCACATATGAGTGAGGTCATGTAACACTTGTCTTTCTCTCTTTCTTGACTTTTTCAGATCTTCTGTTCTGATAAGGGCAAGGCATAGGAATAAAAGGAAACTGGGATTAGTGCCTTCCCATCAGAAGACAAGAATGCTGTATAGAATTAGTAATGTCTCTTCCCCATGGACATCATAAAAGATAATGACATATGCAGGTATGTTGCTGTATTCCACACAAAACTTCATTAATCACCAGATGCAAAAAATGCCAAGTCTTTATTGTTTTATGATACCATATTATAAGGTATACCATTAAAATGAGAAAATAAAAATATGTGCAGCTGAAACTGGTTTGGCTCAGTGGATAGAGCTTCGGCTTGCAGACTGAAGGGTTCCGGGTTTGATTCCGGTCAAGGGCATGTACCTTAGTTGCAGGCACATACCTAGTGGGGAGTGTGCAGGAGACAGCTAATCGATGTTTCTCTCTCATTGATGTTTCTAACTCTCTATCCCTCTCCCTTCCTCTCTGTAAAGAAATAAATTAAAAAATATTTTAAAAAACATGTGCAAACTTTTAATCATGAATATATAAAACCAAACAAAACATAACTACTTTGGAATCTGTTCCCATTTATGGTTTTTGTTTTTTTTCTCTTACATAGAATATATGGTCTAGTTTTTATAAAATGTGCATTCAAAAATGTTGGTGAAAGAGGCTTTCTCTTTCTGATAGCTCACCTGCAGCAAGCAAAGGTATTCTTCATTACAAACCAAGGAATTTCAGTGTTCAGATTAAGGTTATTCTGACTTGAGCATTTATATTCTCTGTGCTTGAATGCCTCTGATGTGATTGAGGTAGTAAAAAATGAATTTTGGACATTGCTATGAAGATTTTTATGATGTAAATTTTTCTTAATGTGAATGTAATTTGGAGGTGGCCTGCAGGGAGCATTTCTATGAATAAATGTAACACAGCAACATTGATTTCAGGCTGGATGACAATGCGAAGTACAGAGAAATCATTGTAATCATAAGGTTTTGTCTGCAGTTTCCACAGTGGATCCAGAAACAGGAATAGGATCCAGAGGCAGATTTTCAATTCCTAGGAGAGAAAACTTGAGCAGTTAGGAGTCTCATTTTGTGGGAAACTGACATTCTCAAAAATTTATTAGAGCTGAGACCAAGGGTGCATATGGAGTCTGAGTTGAGGTATGTATGGGGCATATGGTGGAGTTGGCCTGAAAAGAAAGGTTATGTACCTCAGAGGCCACGAATGACTCTGAAGAAGCCTTGGCAGCCTCCACTTGGACTTTTGCTGAGAAAGGGAAAGATAGAACTAGAGGTGGTCCAACAATGGCAGAGAAGGGAGGAGTAATGAGATGACTGATCCTAATATATAATAAAGAGGTAATATGCAAATTTACCATCATTCCAACACACAAGATGGCCACCCCCATGTGGACACAAGATGGCTGCCACAAGATGGCTGCAGGGGAGGGCAGTTAAGGGTAATGGGACCATGAGGGGAGGGCAGTTAGAGGGGAACAGGTTGGCAGGGGAGGGTAGTTAGGCATTTATCAGGCTGATAGGTGAGTGGTTAGTGGGTGATTAGGCTGGCAGGAAGAAGCTGTTAGGGGCAATCAGACAGGCAGGCAGGCAAGTGGTTGAGAGCCAGCAGTCCTGGATTGTGAGAAGGATGTCTGACTGCCCATTTAGGCCCCATCCCACCAGGCAGTCAGACATCCCTCGATGGGTCCCAGACTGGAGAGTGCAGGCTGGGCTGAGGGACACCCTCATGCACAAATTTTGTGCACTGGGCCTCTAGTATTTCAATAATTATACTATAAGCTCCAGGAATTTAAAACTTATTACCCTTATAGGCTTCTGGTGGGAATGCAACTTGATACATTCCCAGGGAAAATTTCATAATTTTATGTGTATTAAAATATTAAAAATGTGATACCTTGCGTATGAAATGTGTAATTCTAGTTTCATTATGAGTAAAGCATATAAGTACATGTATATGGAATGTTTAAGGAAAGTGCTATTCAATATATAATCAGAAAATAAACAAAAGAAGGGAATAATAAAAACAATCTAAATATACTGTAGAATTTTAGTTAAGTATATTATATTTCTCTTTGCTTGAAAATAACTCACTTGGCCTCTCTGTTCATCCCACTGATCAACTTCCTAACTCCTCTCATCTTTCAAAAAGTTGAGCTACCATGTATACCACAGAGCTTTCCTGACTCATTCAAGACCAAGGGAAAGTCTCTTCCATACACGTCCACAACTCTTTCTAACCCTCCTTCATGGTAATTCCTATTTTACTAGGTATGAATGTCAGTTTATTTTTTTTAAATAATATTAAAAACTAGAGATCCAGTGTAGGAAATTCATCTACTGTCCAGGGAGGAGTAGGGAGGCAGGGCAGGTAAGGAGGGGGGGGGGGGGGGGGGGGAGGGTGTCCCTCAGCCCAGCCTGCATCCTCTCGCAATCTGGGACTGCTGGCTCCCAAGTACTCACCTGCCTGATTGCCCCCTGACCACTCCCCTGCAAGACTGATCAATGCCTAATTGCTCCCCTGCTGGCCAGTCGCCCCCAACTGCCCTCCCTTGCTGGCCTGGTAACCCCAACTTCCCTCTCCTGCTCACTGAGTCACCCCTAACTGCTCTCCCCTGCTGGCCGGGTCACCTGTAACTGCTCTTCCCTGACAGCCTGGTCTCCCTTAACTGCTCTCCCCTATAGGCCTGGTCCCCTGAACTGCCCTCCCCTGCCATCCTGGTCACTTCCAACTGCCCTCCCCTGCTGCCCATCTTGTGCAAGGGCATGAGGGTCAATTTGCATATTATCATTTTATTATTATTAAGTTATTTTATTAAATTATTACCATTTTATTATTTTTTATTATATGATAGCACATAATAAATATGTTTTTGTTGTTTTTTTTTGTTTTGTTGGTTTTTTATTTATTTATTTTTGCATTAAAGAGAAATGATACTAGATGGAAACACAAACACAAAGGATATACAACCAGAAATAGCAAATGTGTGGATAAATAGATCAGACTATCTTTTTCTGTCTTTACTTAATTTGCTTCAGAGCCACTTGATTACTCAGATAAATTAATAATGATTGTAGGTGTTGTAGCCTATGTATATGGAAGTAAAACCTATGACAATATACAGAGAAAGGGAGGTGAGTAAAAGGAAATATTCTTTGTAAGAATCTTACAGTACACATGAGGTAGTATAACATTACCTTAAAAACATTATTCTATGACACTCTGATAAATTAAGGATGTATATTGTAATTCCTAAAGCAATACTAAACACCAGTACCAAAAAAGAATGAAGCAAGATTAAACACTAATAATAGAGATTAAAATAAATACTTTAGTGAAAATTACTTATTTAACCAAATGAATACAGGAAAAGGAAAATATGAGTTAATAACACATGGGAGAAATAGGTAACTAATAGCAAGATAATACCTTAAGATTCAACTCTATCAATAATTGCATTAAGTGTATATGAAGTAAGCACTCCAATTATTTGGCAGAGATTACAATAGGATATTAAAAACAAAATCAAATTGTATGCTATTATAAGAGATGCATTTTAAATATGAGGAACAAATTGGCTAAAAGTAAAATAATAGAAAACTATAATACCATGAAAATATTATTCAAAAGATACTAAGATGATAATATAGTAATGTCAGACAAAGTAGATTTTAGGATATTGAATATGATAATAAATATAGAGACATTTAAAAATGATTAAAAAATCAATTTATCATGAAGATATAAAAATTCCAAAATTTTCTAAGCACCTAAAACAAAGCTTAAAATAGACATATCCAAAGTTATAGTTTATAATTTTACTGTTCCTCTATCACTAATTGATATAATAATTAGATAATAAATTTAATGAGATTATAGAAGAGTTGAACAATCATCTCAATTATTCTAACCATATATGGTTAGAATAATTGAGATGATTGTTCAACTCTTCTATAATCTCATTATATATATGGATTATTACTTCCCCAAACTGTAGGACATAAATTATTTTCAAGTGCAAATGGAACATTTGTAAAGATAAATCATATTCTGTGCTCTAAAAACTGTCTAAATAATTTCAATGCACTTAAATGCTCTGACCAAAATTAAAAATTAATAAAGAAGATATCTAGAAAAATATCAAATATTTGGAAATTAAGTAAAATACTTTTAAGTTAACTATGTGTCAAAGAAGAAATCACAGTGATATTTAGAAAATATTCCAAACTGAATGTATCAAAATTTGTGAATATAGCTAAAGCACTGCAAATATTTTAAATGCTAATATAAGAAAAATAAATAAAAGGTTTGAAAGTAATCCACTCTGGGAAAATAGAAAAACTGAGTAAATTAAATCCAGAATACACAGAAAGAAAGAAAAAATTATAAGTAGAAATCAGTGAACTGAATAAAAATGGAGTTATTCATAAAATTAAGAGGCATTTGTTAGGAAAGTTTAATACAATTAATAACCCCTGGGTAAACTGATCAAAGAAAAAATGAGAAAAACACAGTTATCAATACAATAATGGTGAACATCACTATAAATTCTACA